GCAACAGAAGTTGCAACCAGCTTGCTAATATCAATCCTTTAATGGCGTTCACTTAGTTGTCCACTGAAAAGTAAGGTAAGATTGGCGCAGACCAATGCATGGTCAGAGTCCAGATAGGTACTCCAAAAGGAGCGGCAGTCTTTTACACAATCACGTCAGCGGTAGCTGATCGCGATGTGATCAATCTGAGTCCAGGCTTGAGATGCAGAGGGAGGATGCCAAGTGGCACATCGGCGATGACTGTGCCGGAGGTTAGTGCTAGCCAGAAACAGGTTTTGTTCTGTGCACAGTTGCAGGAGACGGTCCCCGTTATCTGACATGCGACCAACAAGTCCCCATCGGCCACCTAAACGACTCTCTTATGTGCCTAGACGCCCGACCCGAGCATTCAAGTCCCCGGCTAGTACTACAATATCTGTCGAACGCACTTTCTGCAGAAGAACAGATAACTGGTGGTAGAATTCATCCTTGATTGCATCCGGGCTGCAATCTGTCGATGCATATGTGGAGATGACGAAGAGACATCGTTTCTCCCACCGATTTCTTCTCACTTTGATGGACCTTTCTATTCTAACAGCACATAACCGACTGTTAATGGGGGTCCAATCTATTAGTGCTGCCTCAGCTCTAGCGCTTAGTGTGACACCAACGCCAGCAAGACCAGACGAAGATGCCACAGGGTCCCCGGATAAACGCACGTAAAACAAGCCTTTTGAATCAACAGATGGAGAGCGAATTTGTAGTACTTCGCCAGAGTCTTGAATACGGGTCTCGGATAGACAACAAACATCAATATTAAGACTTTCCAAAGACATAGCCAGCTCTATCTGTTGTCCGACCTGCACTAGTGTGCGAACGTTGAAGGCAGCCAATTTGAATGGTGCACGTGGTTTCAGAAAACTGCTTCAGTATTCGTATTCGGTGGTAGCATACAATTTTCAACCGGACAGCGACTCGAGAACGTTTAGATACAGTCGAATTTCCACCAAAGACGAGCCGCTGTATAAGTATAAAAGAGGGTGAATAATGTGGAAAATAATAATAATAATAATGACAATAATGGTAATAATAATAGTATTAATAATGACAATAATAGTAATAATAATTATTTGAATCGATTGATTGTTTATCGGATCGAGAAAAGTAGTTGCCATAGACATAGAGTTCATCGTTTGTGTGTGGGCTGTGATGCTGCCCGGGTGCCCAAACCGAAGCAGGTGGTTATCTTAGGGGGCCACACCCCGAGCTTTTGACCTAATGGTCTAACCCACAAGGCAGTGGAGCATCGTGAGGAGATGGAATCCCATGGTAGCCGGTGACCAACGATTGGTTCATACGCCATTTGTTCCCGCAGGATACTGGAGCCCATGTGCACCATTGGTTTGTGATCCGGTTAAAGCGCCGGACGTTCGCTTTTCGTCTTCTCATTTTCGTAAACAACACCCCCGCCACGAGAAGGCAATGAGTAGGACTTCCCTGGCAGAGGCTGTATACGCGCGGCCGTGTGAGAGTATTTCGAGAGGGAGAGCGGACTCTCCCCACTCTCGGCCGTACCAGGGCGTTCGAGGGCCTATTCAACCGTGTTCATACATCAGCATTCAGGTCTTTTAGTGACTACAGTACTTTTAAATAATTGAGTTGGAATTCAACGGACCAAATTTCTAACATAATCCGAGTTTTCAAAAAGAGTGCTTAGTTTGTGCTGTAAAAGGATATAACGTAAATGTCATCAATGAAACTGCATAATCTTGATGGGCTAAAGTTGAATAAATTGCCACCATTGAATTTAGACTCGTTGATTGAAATATATTTTACTCTCTGTACAATCTGAAGATTCTGAGTTCGTTCCTTTACAAAGTTTCGGGTGAGTATTTTGTCCGCGAAGTCGTAGTCCAAGCAACCTTCTTCAAATAAAGACGATCCCTGTATTTAAATTATCTTCACATCGATTAGTCTTCATAAAATACTATTTATGCAGATAACGATGTAGTAATACATTCGGTTGTACAATATGCCTTCAAATTGATCTTTGCATTTGCTCCGTGTCAAAAAATTGAGCCAATGTTTCATTACAAGGTCATTATCCAAACTGCACAATTTCCGTGTATTTTGCGAAAAAAAATATTTTATGCACATAGTTCCTTTTCTTGTTTTAAGGAGAACAAAATGATGATTGGTGCAGAATTATGTGATAATAAAGAAAGATATGAATTGAGGAAAAACGAGAAGAATATAATGAAATTTCAGAAAGGGTTGAAATAATGAATGACTCAATAAAAAGGATGTAATGTTACCAGGGCAAAGAAAGATTTTTTACTTCTTCTTTTTGGATAAATGGATCTGGTTTTAGACGTCTGATCGTTATCGCTTCGGCAGATTTTGGAAGATTGGAGTTTGATTGTTTATTAATCACCTTGAAGGACTTCAGTGTATCGACCTGATGTCATGTTTCAAGATGTTTTGAGATTGCACTGCTGAATGCTTCTAATTCATTTGACCTCGGATTTTTCAGAATATGTTCTTTGAATCGGACGTAGACTCTCCTTCCTGTTGTACCAATGTAACTGCTTTGGAAGATACATGTGATTTTGTATTCATAGTTGGTGGTAATATGAAAGGGATACCTATCGACATTTGTGTTAAAGAGCATGTTGTTTTGGATAGGACAATCAATTTAGCTGCTTGATAAGTTCTTGTCGATGCAGTTTTTAGCCTCACACTGATTGGCCCTGTCACATCATCACCTTTCAATTGATGTTGAATAAAAATAGGTTTTTTTGCTTAATGTAGTTTCTTTGGGTCTTTTATCTTCATGTTTTGTATATTTCTCAATGAATTTCAAGGGTATCCGTTGTTTCTTAAACACTTATTTACATTCATTCTTTCCTATTCTAGCGTATCGGCAGAACATATACTTTTTGTTCTGTGTGATAGTGTTTTAACAAGTGCCTTTTTGTAACTGATTGGACAAAAGCTATTGAAATAGAGATGAATCTCATTCCATGTATCTTTTTTTTATAAACTGAACGTTGAACTGTGCCATCCTTCCTTCGTTTTATTTCGATATCAAGAAAATGGAACTTGTTTTCATTTTTATGTTCCATAGTAAACTAGATATTTTTATGGGCTTCATTGAAAAGTTCCCACAGATTTGTTGCATGTTATTGATTATTACAGACGATGAAGGTGTCCCCAACATACCTCAAATAATACACCACTTCGTCAATCGCGGGGGCGGCCAAACCAAAACGTGGCATCAGTACTTGAAGTCACTAACTTCTAGTCTGAGCCATGTTGGTAGATGCAGACTACTTGGTTGGGGTCCGCGTGACTTGAAACGTCATCAATTGAGATGGCTGGGACACGTGTTACATGTTCCCATCCACCGACTGCCCCGCCAAGCGATGTTTTATGGTGTAGAAGTAGGCTGGAAGAAAGCTAGGGGCGGCCAGACCAAAATACGGCACAAATTCATGAAGTCACTGACAAGTAGACTGAGTCATGTTGGTAAGTGTAGACTACCTGGTTGAGATCTGCGAGACGATAGCAGCCGATGGTTAGAGACCTTGAATGACATGGCTCAAAATCGTTTGCCATGGCGTAGGTGCATCCACTCTTTGTGTTCTCCCAAATTCTAATCTTGTGAATTCTTCATGTCCTGTTTTCTCTTTCTAAATTTATTTCACTGTATTATACTCTTTAAGTAACATCTCCAAACGCTAATCTTCCCGATTACTGCTTATACTCTTATTACCTCTACCACTACGGGATTTGAATTGACAACTGCATCTCGGTGCTAATGTGGTGTGGCAACTGAAACTGATGTGCGTACGAAGTTCTACTTTGTTACTGACTGAATGACTTATCTAATGAATAAAGGATGAGTGTACTGTGCAGCAGTTCTCTCCGTTCTGTTGTATAGCTTTTAGAAGTAGGTGTTATTAGTACTCGGTGATAAATTCCCTTACATATATTAAGGCCATCGAATGAGCCATACTGGGATTAGACGCAGAGCACTAGGTGAAGATGGAAAATGAAATAATTGGGACGATTTGTTGCTCGGGTTAATGATTGTGCTGGAGTTTTGTTCTCTTAACTGGATGGTTTAATTGTGGAGCTTTCATAGCTCTTCTGAACAATATCAGTGCGAAACTTCATGTTTAAGTAAGGTATTTCAAATCGACTGGTGAGGTGGTGAATTTTCATCAACTGAGGTGATTGAAACACATGCACAATCACTACCTACTTCGACTCATGATAGTGGGTGGTGTAGGGTTAGGTTTGAAGAATGCTTAAGGTAGTCAACTAAAAATGTACCGTCAGTTCATGAATTCGTTGACTGTTGAACTGAGTCGTGTTATTAGGGGCAAACTACCTGATTGGGATGCGCATGATTATTGCATCTAGTGGTTGGAGATGTTGGGTGCCATAGCTCAGAGAACGTTCGCACTAAGATAGATGCATTCACTTTCTGCTTTACTCTACATATCGACTTTTATGATTGTTTTATACATTTTATTCCACTAATTCTCGAATCACATTGCGTTTATCTAGTTTTTTTTCCTATTACTGATGTTACTACCTTTGCTGCTCTGCTTTCTGTTTTGGCAGTTTCATGCCGCTTTTGTGATACGGTGTAGCAACGTGAAGTGATCCCTACATTTGCCAAATTCTACGTTGCTTGTGACCAACTGACTGACTTTTAGCTGTCTTATATTTTTGGTTCATAACCTCAGTCAGTCAGTCAAATGCAACATGGAACTGGAACCTGGCACCCATGTACATCAGTTCAAGTTGCCATACTCCATTAGCACAACGAAATTAAACTTTCAGGACAAGTCGCAGAATAGTAGAAGTAGTAACAATATTAATGCTATTAGGCCATAACTTAGTTTGTAGTTATGTCCGTAGTGCTTACCGAGTTGCATTACTCATATAATTAATGCACATTGACCAAAATAGAAATTTATAATAAAAAATGCTTTTTTTTTTAAAATTAGGCGGTGATATGTGCAATTAAACAGGCACACATTGGTGGTATTACTCATTTGGGAATAGTTACTGATAGTAAATTCACTCAAAACTGTGCAACAGAATGGGGTCAACGATGGGCGCGAAATGCTTGGAAATTAGCCAATGGTGAAGATGCTAAATTAAGAGAACCAGTTAAACGATTACTTGGAGTTATCGCTGAATCAGGAATTGAAATAATTTGGGTGAATTGTTTTGCTTTTTAGTGTGGATTCGCTTTCTTCCTCTTAACATAATTATGAAGTAATCGTGTTATAGACTATAACGTTATATCTGTTGTAACGGGTGTGACTGCAGGTTATTGATAAGCAGCGTTTATATCGATCGATCGGTTACAGTGACACGGAAATACGTACGAACGACCTAGTGCCCTGATTGGCCCTGCTCCCCTGTCTATCCCAGCCAGTTGAGTCCAGAACGAAAGTCACAGCCTCTGAGATATGAGTCATTATACTTCAAACACACTCTGTTTATATACTAACCAAGCAGACCACATCATACCATAAAAATAGGAAACAACATTTACACAATATTAAACAACTGAAGCAAATATCGACCAATAGGAAATGTACATTTAACGTCCAAGGCCACCATTCGACTTGACACGATAATTATTGGCATATTCCTCTGCATACCTAACACCTCCCCCTCTTTTTTGAGGATCCGGAGTTGATATCCGGTTTTTAAAATTTTCTGCGTCCGTCCTCTCCCGCGAAATAATGTTGGGTCCTCATGTATCCAAGTAACAGTTAGTCTGATTCTATTTAAAGCATATTTCTCGCATTGAGTAGAGGGTTCACTAAAACTGACTAGATGATGAGGATTAGCGACACCAGACATGAGGTCATTAAGGTTTGATTCTTGTGAAACATATTCACCAGAACTCCTCAAGATTCCATCAGTGGATAATAGGTCACTGGAATAAACAGCATCCTTGAAATTTGTATTAGATTCCTGACCATTATTTGAGGCATGATACACATTTTCTGGCACGAGTTCTTCTTGTGTGCTGTATACCTCACATGTTTCGGGCAACGTGGGATTTGAACCCACGACAGGGCATGCTTCTGAATCGCTGGACGGATCATGAGCGACTGCCTCGTTTGCATTACTGCTCGTTAGGGATTCATAGAGGCTTTTGTTTTCATATTCATACGTCCTGCAGTCATTTTCGAGTTCAGTATGCAACTGAGAAATTAATCCATCAACTTCTTTCACATCTCCGAAACAAGGGAGATTTAGCAGTCGCCTGTGTAAATAGTCCAAAACATTCAACTGGATTTCTCTGAAACGCTGCTGCTGGCGATCAAGTAGTAGCTGCAATTGATCGGGAAGTATAGTCATTTTCTGAGACAGCAGGGTAATAAAAAATACTGTGACCAATTAACAACAAATGACTTCCAAGAACACTGATAATAAATTCGGACGCTGATTGGTCAAAATAATTAGGATGAATCTCGTCCAATTAGAGGGTTCAAAATTTTCTCTACCCCGTCGCCAATTGTTGTAACGGGTGTGACTGCAGGTTATTGATAAGCAGCGTTTATATCGATCGATCGGTTACAGTGACACGGAAATACGTACGAACGACCTAGTGCCCTGATTGGCCCTGCTCCCCTGTCTATCCCAGCCAGTTGAGTCCAGAACGAAAGTCACAGCCTCTGAGATATGAGTCATTATACTTCAAACACACTCTGTTTATATACTAACCAAGCAGACCACATCATACCATAAAAATAGGAAACAACATTTACACAATATTAAACAACTGAAGCAAATATCGACCAATAGGAAATGTACATTTAACGTCCAAGGACACCATTCGACTTGACACGATAATTATTGGCATATTCCTCTGCATACCTAACAACATCATTTATTGAGTAATATGGATAATCTTGTGTATCATTTATCGTTTACTATCTTTGTCAGTGTTTGTGGGAATAATCAGCATCAACTATTTGATATGTCATGCAATTGGTTCCCTTTATGAATTTGAATAGAGCAAGAACAAACATTGATGTCGGATCGTACTACTGTTGATGTTAACATTATTTATATTTATCCAGTTGATCCCATCGATTTTTATCTCGTAAAAGTTATTCATGTGAAAACAGATAATATGTTTTTAGTGCTTACAGAAAGGCTTTATATGACCAAACTCACGTAGTTTTTATTTGAGCTCTGAGGTTAAGCTCCCAAGTCGTTAAGATCACCTCTAACCTAGTTTCTATTTCAGATACTCATCATGGTATTGACATTGGGTCTTATAGCGCCTCTGTTACACCTTTGTTTATGTTTAGTTTTGCCAAGTCCTTCACTTAACCTAAATAACAGCTAGTGCTATTCGAATAGTAACAGTTTGATATCTTGGTATTATTATTATTATCACGTATGTGTGAAAGTATATACTTGATCGCATGTGACAGCCTACGTACATATACCTCTTTCTAGCTTAAATGTTAATTGCTTAAATTGCTCGATGTATCATTCGCTTTCCTACATATATGTGCTAGAATCTTATTAATTCATTCGATTCTTTATTCACCTGAGAATTCGCCCGCATTAGCACTTGTGCTCGAATTCACTTGATGTACTTGTGGCTCAATGATCTGTGCTATTCAACGTTAAACTGTGGTCGGCGCTTCGTGTTGCCTTCTTAAATTCGTACACCATTGGAATTTATTTAATAACGGTTATCAGGATGATTGATATGCGAAGCCTAAGGAATTATCTCGAAGATAATCCGCTATAGGCTAACGTACATACTTGCCAAGTTCTGTGTTGATGATGATTTATTTACTGATGTATTTGGTGTTTTAAGACAATCATTTGAAAACACTATGTTCTATGCCTATTGGGACTCATCATCTAGCCGTTCGTACTCTCGAAATTTGAACTTTGCTTAACAGTCAAATATTTTAACATTTAGCGGTTCAAGCCACAATAAACTTATGGAATCGGCATTTCTATAATGATTGGTGATTGGATTTGATAGTTAACAAGGTGATCTCGAGTACTGTATGTGGAAGTTCTTCATTTCCAAGTTGCTCACATCATGAGTGGATACTTCTTAAGGAAATTAGATTAGTAGTGGTTTTAGAGACCTGCAAAAGTGACTACAGACCCTGAGTAACAATTGCTTAATGGCAGGTCACTTGCGGGTACTATAAAAGCCTTACTTTCAATGTCGAGATCAGTGTAGTAAGGTGGAATGTACTGCTTCTAGGACCGATATTTTGTAATTTTTTCCTTCCATTGTGAGAAGGTAACACCTTCGTAGGTGTTGGCTTTCTAAGGAAAACACTTTACTACTGTGACACACCTGTATTGTCAGCAACACGCTCGGACCTGGAGTTTCCTACTTTTAGTCTTGCCGCTTTCCAATCAAGCATTATTTCTTCGGTTTTTTGCTATTGTTACTGTTGTTCTCATCTAATATTTTTTTTACGTTTTTGCAAAGTACACCACAACACCCGGGCGAGATACTCAAATTGTTTGTCGAAATATGCAAGTATCTTGCAAAACGGTCCACTTTTTCACAGTCTTATCATTCAGAACATTATCACCAAAGGTGTAAAAATTGTCATACGAATCCACGTTTATAGAGACACCTTCGATTCAGATTCTTGCGTATATTGTTACCAAGTAAACAATACAAAAGTTTAGTGTATATGGTGCTAGGTAAATTAAACAAGTCAGTAGATGCGGACCTGCTTGTTACTCACTCACTCCACTACTTTGTCGATAAACAATTTTGGTTGGAGAAGGGTTAAGTTTTCAAAAGTATATAAAGTTCAACAAAAAACGCCACTGAATGCTAGTCTGAATTATGTGTAGATCGTGTAAGCCTCCTGGTTATACTGCTCCAAAATGGATCACGTCTACTCAACCTATTAAATATTTACCCTCCTAAATTTTCAACATCTTATTTTTTCCCCATCTTCATCTCAGTTTCACACATATTGCCTTCGATGATTTAATTTTTTTTACCATCATTTTTAATTTCCTCTTTGTACTGATGTTGATGTTTAAACAGTCTGAGCTACGATAAACAACTCTCTTCAGTTTCCTAGGTTTTTTCTAGCTTACCTGTTTTTATCAATCAGTTTTGTTAGTGTTACGAATTAGTATTTTGTAAAAGGTACATATCTTTGAGTATTGTTAAAATGCAGTTGATGGAATATCGATTAGTTGGTGATATACTGCGGCGATGCCTGCTCGAATGATTGAATTATTAAGATAAACCTCTAATTAAAAAGAAATACCTGCTCAGTACAGAACAAATTTTCTATAAAATAAAATAAAATGATAACAGATGAAACATTAACTACAAAAGCAAACAATTGACAAGTCAATTATATCAAAAGTAATTGAGTAAGGTACGCATTCCATAGCTGACTCGTGTCAATAAAATGAGGACTTGATTACCAAGCTTGACAATTCTGGTAGCCTCCCTCCTCACCATCATATCACAAAGTTAACTCTAAAGGGTGTTATACCTTGTGATGCTAACCCATATTACGTGTTAAAGTCACTAATAAAAATTTTAATTATAGTCTTTATTTATTCCGCGTCTATTATTTCTTCTATATTCTAATGTCCCAGGCTTGACCATTATGCAGTTGTAAAAATATCGGACTTAATATAGCATTTTCAAAAGAATTTTGTAGTATTTCGATTCTTCCACCAATGCTGATTGGTTGAAAACTGATCGATCAAACTATCCCGATTCAAACCCGAAGTGAACTGACAGTCAGTCTGTCAACAACGTACATCAGTTTCAGTTGCCACACCACATTAGCACCGAGATACAGTTGTCGATTCAAATCCCATAGTCGTAGATGTAGTAAAAGTATAAGCAGTGATCGGAAACATTAGGGTTTGAGTCAATCAGTCAGCTACAACGTAGGACCAGGCACATATATGCATCGGTCCAGGTTGCCATACCTCATTAGCACAGCAAGATGAACATTGGATTCATAGGAGTGGTTAGGTTAAAGGTGGTAATATATAGGAGAAAGATTGCATATAAGGATACAGTACCGGAATAAAGAATTAGTTCGTAGAAAGAAAGATATGAAGTGATTTTGATCTCTTAGTTTAAGGGAAGACAGGGAGTGTATGCACCGACGCTATTGTGATCGATTATGAGCCATGTCACCAAGAGTCTCCAACCATCGGT